ACGGTTTGGTACGGAGAACTACGTATTTGTACGGTTACCCTACGTATAAGCTACGGTTTTAATACGGATTAATACGGCATTGTCACGGAAAGCCACGATCGTAATACGTTGTACTACGGAGAGACAAGGATTAGCACGGTCTTATACGGTTGACTGCGTTGCAACACGAAACGGTACGGAATGGTACGGTCCACCACTGTTTAGTACTGATGAATTAAGTTACTACCTTCTTGTTAAAAACAGATATATCGATATCTCTTATACTAAAACAATACAAATTTAGCCGTTTTCAAACCGCTAGTTTGTTGTAATTAAATGTCCGATTTTATAAAAATGATTACATCAATGAAAAGCTTGGGATCTTAGCTTTGTCACAGTATATAATTTAACTTATCTTTTGACACCAAGGTATTTAAATTAACTGTTAAACCTACCATATGTCAGACCATTTTACATAAGATTTATACAGTGAGATACGCAACCGGTTATCTTTACTCGAAAACCTACTGATAAGAATAGCCTTTCGTCTGCTAGTTGGGAAAAGTGTTTATCGTTGTATTCGCGACAATACCGCTGCCAGGAAACAATTCGAGATAATACTGCCGCCATGAAACTATCGGATATATACTACAGTCATGAAACAATCCGAGATAATATTGCCGCCATGAAACAGATAGAAATAATAGTGCCGTCATGAATGAATCCGAGATAATACTGCTGTCATGAAACAAGCAGAGTTAATACTGCCGCCAAGAAGCATTCCGATATAATACTGCAGTCATAAAACAAAGAGAGACAGTACTGCCATCATGAAACAATCGAAGATGATATTGCCGGCAAGAAACCATTCGAGATAATACTACAGTCATAAAACAAATAGAAATAATACTGCCGTCATGAAACAATCAGAGATAATGCCGCTATGAAATACTCTGGGATTTTAATGTCCTCATTAGAAAATCCGAGATAAAACTACCGTCAAGAAAACAATCAATTCGAGTTAAAACTGCTGTCATGAAACTATATAAAATATTACTGCGGTTATGAAACAATCAAAGCTTATACTGTCGTCATGAAACAATCAGAGGTGAAACAATTCGAGATAATACTGCTATCATGAAATAATCCAAGATATAACTGCCGTCATGAAACAATCAGAGATAATAATACCGTCAAGAAACAATCCTAGATAATACTTCTACAATGAATCAGTGCGAGATGATAATGCCACCATCAACATACTATGATATTACTGCCGTCATGAAACAGTTCGAGATAATACTGCTGTCTTAAAAATGTCTCTGATTATACTGCCGTAAAGAAACAGTGCAAAATAAAACTGCAGTCAGGAAAAAATCAGAGATATTCCTGCCGCCATTTAACAATCTGAGCGTATTCTGTCGCAATTTATTACTCTGAGATATTACTGCCGTCATGAAACAATCCAAGATAAAACCATTGTCATGAAACAATCCGAATTTTTTCTGCAGTTATGTAAGAATCCGAGCTAACACTACCGTCAAGAAACAATCTGAAATATTATTGCCATCATGAAACAGTCAAAGATAAAACTGCCCCCATGAAACAATCCGGGATAATATTGCTTGATAATAATATCCTTGATAATTCAGTCGCCAAGAAAACAATCCGATCTGAAATTGACGTCATAAAACAATCCGAGTTAAAACTTTCCAAAAAAACAATCTGAAATAATACTGTCATAATGAAACAATTCGAGATAATACTGCCGCAAAGAAAAAATCCGAAATAACACCGCCGCCAGGAAACAATTCGAGAAATTACTGCCGCCTAGAAACAAACTGAGATAATACTACAGTCATGAAACAATCCGAGATAATACTGCCGTCATGAAAAAACGGAATTAATACTGCCGTCAGGAAACAATTCGAGATGATACTGCCGCAAAGAAACAATTCGAGATAATATTACAGTCATGAAACAATCCGAGATAATACTGCCGTCATGAAAAAACGGAATTAATACTGCCGTCAGGAAACAATTCGAGATAATACTGCCACAAAGAAACAAATCGAGATAATACTACAGTCATGAAACAATCCGAGATAATACTGCCGCAAAGAAACAAATCGAGATAATACTACAGTCAGGAAACAATTCGAGATAATACTGCCGCTAAGAAACAAACTAAGATAATACTACAGACAGGAAACAATTCGAGATAATACTGCCGCAAAGAAAGAAACTAAGATAATACTACAGACAAGAAACAATTCGAGATAACACTGCCGCTAAGAAACAAACTAAGATAATACTACAGACAGGAAACAATTCGAGATAATACTGCCGCAAAGAAACAAACTGAGATAATACTACGGTCAGGAAACAATCCGAGACAATACTGCTGCAAAGAAACAAATCGAGATAATTCTACAGTAATGAAACAATCAGAGATAATACTGCTGCCAAGAAACAATCCGATTTAATATTACAGTCATGAAACAATCCGAGATATTACTGCGGTCATAAAACAAATAGAGATAAAACTGCCGTCATGAAACAATTCAAGATAATACTTCCCTCATGACACAATCTGAGGTAATACTGTTGTTATAAAACAACCCTAGATAATTCAGCCGTAAATAAAACAATCCGACCTGAAGTTTACGTCATGGAACCATTCGGAGATAATAATGCCGCCATGAGTCATTGTAAGATAATACTCCCTCGTAAAATAATCATAGATACTTCTGCAAACATGAAAAAATCAAAAATAATACTGCCGTTAACATGAATATTTTTAATTTCTGTATCTGACATTTCGGATGAAATTTTTCGAGTTATCATAACTGTCATGAAAAATTCCGGGCTTCAATTTATGTCATGAAATAATCCATCACCACATAATTCGAAATGTTATCAATATTATACAGTTATTTCATATGTGATTTGGGAACACTCAAACTGTTGGCCCGAGGTGGAGGGGGTAGTGTTTTGAGGCCGAGGGCAACAGTTCAAAACACTATCCCCGACACCGGGTGATAACTGTTTGACTGTTCCCAAATCACATATGAAATAACTGTTTTATTACCTGATCAATTAGTGTTTTAACAGTACTTGCAGAAGAAACTAGAAATGTGTCCATAGGACACGGTTGCCCCCACCGCGCCACTGTTCTGTCAATCTTATGACTCTAGGTCAAATATTTTTTTGAAAACTAAAAATCTTTTACTCAGTAAAGGGCAAGAAATTTACAAATACTGAATAAATCCACAAGCAAAACCCAAGGTGCATAGGTACACATGCTGATCAACATTCTTGTAAACTTTCAGGCCTTTTAAATACTTTTTGAGCTTTGCATGAACAAGTTGAAAATTGCAAATTTATACTACTGTAAGTCAAGGGCAATAACTTTGACAAAACTGAAAAAATCCACATGCAAAGTATCAGGTGCATAGCTTCAAAGTGATGTGAATCATTATTCCTGTAATTTAGTGATGTTGATTATTATTCCTGTTATGTTGATTGATTCTAACTCAAGCACTCAAGGAACAAATAACAACATAATGAAACGGTTTTTACTAAGTCAAGGGAAATAAATCTACAAATACTAGATAAATCCACAAGCGAAACCCCAGGTACAAAACTAAATATGCTGAGCAACCTTCCCGTAAGGTTTAATGAATTTATGTCAAATCCTTTTTGATTTACATGCGACACAAGTTGAAAAATGCAATAACAAATATAAGTCAAGGGCAATAACTCTAAAAATTCTAAATAAATCCAGACGAAAATACCATGGTGCACAACTACACATGCTGATCAATATTCCTGTAAAGTTTCATGACTCTATGTCAAATCCTTTTTGAGTTACATGCGACACAAGTTGAAAATTGCAAAATTTTATTAAGTCAAGGGCAATAACTCTAAAATACTAGATAAATCCAGACGAAGATACCCAGGTGCACAACTACACATACTTTTCAACATACCTGTAAAGTTTTATGACTCTAGGTCAAATACTTTTTGAGTTACATGCGACACAAGTTGTAAATTGCAAAATTTTACTAAGTCAAGGACAATAACTCTAAAAATACTAAATAAATCCAGACGAAAATACCAAGGTGTACATTTACACATGCTGATCAACATTCCTGTAAAGTTTCATGACTCTAGGTCAAATACTTTTTGAGTTACATGCGATACAAAAGAGAACGGACGGACGGAAGGACGGACGGAAGGACAAGGGTAAATCTAAATGCCCGCCACTAAAGTGGGGGCACAAAAAGAACAATAAAATAGTTTTGCATATATGTTAATAATTAATCTTTTTACTTTAACTATGCCACGTGACGTCTGGTTTATGATCAAGATCGATGGACGCTTCAAATGGGAATCATCTATGACGTCAATGACGTCAGAGCACGCGAGTGAAACAGTCGAAACTATTGACCGGTCAACAGTTCGCGAACGTTGACGTTTTTAGAATTTCGGAAAACAGTTAAAAATACCAAATTACATTTATGTAAGGTATCAGGTAATAACATCAATTATGCAATGATATATATAACTGCTTTCATAAAAATAATCTGAAAGATAAAGCAGCCGTCATAAAATAATTCGAGTTAAAACTGCCGCCCAGAAACAATCCGTGATAATACTGTGTCATGAAACAATCCAAGATAATAATGCCGTCATGAAACAAAAATATAAATAATACTGCCGCCATGAAATAGTCCGAGATAATAATGCCGGTATGAGGCAATCCGAGATGATACTGTCACCAAGAAACAATCCGAGATAATACTGCCGTCATAAAACAAAATAAAGATAATACTGCCGCCGTCTATTAGCTCGAGATAATACAGCTGTCATGACACATTTTGAGATGTTACTGTATTCATGAAATAACCCGAGAATTTACTGCCGTTATAAAATAAATCGGGATATAAGGGTGGGGTGGCTTTTGTTACTTATGATTCGGTAATTTGAGCTCTTAACATATTTAGTTTTTATTTCAGATAAGTCACATATCAATAACGACTGCAATACAACAAACTGATTTTACAGCTTGGTGGAATGAGATTGAACAGGTGAGCACATTTCGCTTTCATAGTATTATTATTATCTTTAGTATTTTAAACGGTAAGTCATGTATTCTTAAAAAATGGAAACATTTAATGGGATATTAAATTCAAATTCAATGATATAATCCATATAAACGTGTAAATGTTTGACGCTTCATAGTCAAAACAAGAAAAGAATTTCAAACGACCCAATTTCCCCATAGAGACATTTGATCGCCCAATTTGATCTATGTAAGAATTTCAAATTTTATTATTTTAAAATTTACGTCCTCAGTGGAGTTCCTTTAATGAATGATTTTGACTTATCTCTGCGAACGCTTGGTGTATTTAGACTTTAAAAGAACATTTACGCTTTTCAAGTATCAGTTCTTTAAGAGCGTCTCGATTTTCAGGTGTCAAGTATTTCAGTGTTTTACGATTTTCCGTTGTCAAGTACTTTCAGTAATTCTCGATATTCAGGTGTCAAGTACTTTCAGAGTTTCACGTTTTCCAGTTGTCAAGAACTTTCAGTGTTTCTCGATTTTCAGGTGTCAAGTACTTTCAGAGTTTCTCGATAATCAGGTGTTAAGTACTGTCAATGTTTCACGAGTTTCAGCTCTAAAGTACTTTCAGTGTTTCTCGATTTTTTATGTTGTCAAGTACTTTCAGTGTTTCACGATTTTCATTTGTCAGGATTTTTCATTGTTTTCGATTTTCAGATGTCAAGTACTTTCAGTGTTTCATGATTTTCAGGAGTCAAGAAGGTCCAGAGTTTCCTGATTATTGGGTGTTAAGTACCTTTAATGTTTCACGATTTTCTGTTGTCAGGAACTTTCAGTGTATCTCGATTTTCAGGTGTCAAGTACTTTCAGTGTTTCATGATTTTCAGTTGTCAAGTACTTTCAGTATTTCTCGATTTTCAGGAGTCAAGTAGGTTCAGAGTTTCTCGATTATTGGGTGTTAAGTACTTTTAATGTTTCACGATTTTCAATTGTCAAGTACTTTCAGTGTTTCACGATTTTTTATGTTGTCAAGTGTTTCACGATTTTCAGTTGTCAAGTACTTTCAGTGTTTTACGAGTTTCAGATGTCAAGTTCTTTTAATGTTTCACGTTTTTCAGTTGTTAAGTACTTTCAGCGTTTCTGGATTTTCAGTTGTAAAGTACTTTCAGTGTTTCACGATTTTCAGTAGTCAAGTACTTTCAGTGTTTCTCGATTTTCAGTTGTCAAGTACTTTCAGTGTTTCACGATTTTCAGTTGTAGAGTACTTTCAGTATTTCTTGATTTTCAGGTGTCAAGTAAGTTCATTATTTCTCGATTAGCAGGTGTCAAATACTGTCAATGTTTCACGATTTTCAGTTGTCAAGTACTTTCAGTATTTCTCGATGTTTTAAGTTGTCAAGTACTTTCAGCATTTCTTGATATTGAGGTGTCAAGTATGTTCAGTATTTCTCGATTTTCTTGTGACAAATACTGTCAATGTTTCACGATTTTCAGTTGTCAAGTACTTTCAGTGTTTCACGATTTTCAGTTGTCAAGTACTTTCAGTGTTTCTCGATTTTCAGTTGTCAAGTACTTTCAGAGTTTCTCGATTATCAGGTGTCAAGTACTGTCAATGTTTCACGAGTTTCAGTTGTCAAGTACTTTCAGTGTTTCACGATTTTCAGTTGTCAAGTACTTTCAGTGTTTCACGATTTTCAGTTGTCAAGTACTTTCAGTGTTTCACGATTTTCAGTTGTCAAGTACTTTCAGTGTTTCTCGATTTTCAGGTGTCAAGTACTGTCAATGTTTCACGAGTTTCAGTTGTAAAGTACTTTCAGTGTTTCGCGATTTTCAGTTGTCAAGTACTTTCAGTGTTGAATGAGTTTCAGTTGTCAAATACTTTCAGTGTTTCACGATTTTCAGTTGTCAAGTCCTTTCAGCACTTCTCGATTTTCAGTTGTCAAGTACTTTCAGAGTTTCTCGATTATCAGGTGTCAAGTACTGTCAATGTTTCACGAGTTTCAGTTGTAAAGTCCTTTCAGTGTTTCACGATTTTCAGTTGTCAAGTACTTTCAGTATTTCTCGATTTTCAGATGCCAAGTATTTTCAGAATTTTTCGATAATCAGGTGAAAGTACTGTTAAAATTTCACGAGTTTCAGTGTTTGACAATGTTTAGGTTTCTAGTACTTTGACTGCGTCACTTAGATAGCTTACATATTTTACAGGAAACATAGTTTAGAAGACGTCTACCAAGTAAGAGCCCCTTTTTAAACTTGCCATGCCTTTGGGGTCATGGAATTTCCTTACTGGAGCTTGAATTTGATAGCAACCAGTGGCTTAACAATCGTCACTTTACAGTCATCAGTGACTTTACTGGCAACCATTGTCTTCCATAGCAACTGGTGACCTCCATAGCAAACCAGTTATTTTTGTAGTAGCAATTGGCTTTCCAAAGATATTAGTGACTTCCTAAGATATCACAAACTTTCCATAACAACCAGGGGCTTTCATAAAAAGCGTTGACTTTCCAGAGTATCCAGTGACTTCAAAGGCAACCATTTACATTCTTCAGAAACGAGCCAATTCCACATCAGCTGTTCTATTTCCTAAGCAAACTTGTATTTATCAGCAACAAGTGTTTTCTTCAATTATTGATGTTCCATAGCAAGCAGTGATTTTTCTACAGCAAATGATTTTTTATCGACCAGTCACTTCAATAGAAGCAATTGACTCCCATTGCATTCATTGTTTTCCATAGCATACATTGAATTTTCATTTTTCCATAGCAACCATATAATTTCATAGCTACCATTAACTTTTCATAGAAACTATTGACCTTTTAGGATTGTTGAATGTCCGTCGTCCGTTCACACTTGTTCGTGAACACTCTAGCGGTCACATTTTTGCCTCAATCATTATCAAACTTTGTCAGGATGCTAATCTAGGTAATAGCTCGGATGAGTTCGAACATGTGTCATCTCGGATGAACAACTAAGTCACAGGAGCTAAAAAAAGGAAAAACTTTGTTAACACACTAGCGGTCATATTTTGCCTTAATCATCATCAAACTTTGTCAGGATGCTTGTCTAGGTCAAAGCTCGGATGAGTTCGAACATGGGTCTCGGATGAAAAACTAGGTCATAGGAGCTTAAAATAGAAAAACCTTGTTAACACTCTAGTGGTCACATGTTTAACTCAATCATCCTTAACCTTAGTCAGGATGCTTGTCTAGGTAATTGCTCGGATGAGTTTGAACATGGATTATCTCGGATGAAAAACTAGGTCACAAAAGCTAAAAATAGAAAAACCTTGTTAATACTCTAATGGTCAAATAAGTCAGGATGCTAATCTAGGTAATTTCTCACATGAGTCCGAACATGGGTCATTGAACATGGGGTCAAAAACTAGGTCAAACTGCTCAAATATAGATAATCCTTGTTAACACTCTGGTGGTCACATTTTGACTCACCTGTCATAAAACTTGGGCAGAATGCTTGTATAGGTAATTGTTCGGATGAGTTCGATCGGTCAGGTTAGTGATCTAGGGCCATCATGGCCTTCTTGTAATCGAGAAATCAACCATTGACTTTCATAGTAACCATAACTTCCTACTTGTAAAGCCGCCAGTGAATCTTTTAATAACTAATAATTTTCTCAGCAATAACAACCGGTTTTATATTTGCACGATTTCAGATGCAGATATGACCTTTGTGATATCAGTAAATGATTATGACTTGATATCTGCTTTTCATTGATAGTAAACAGTGTTAATTGTCCCCTGTTATCAAGAACATTTATAATAAAAAGAGCCATAATTACTCTTGTTCAGTAACTTTTGTCTTTCATGTCTAATCAACAAACAAACAGATAAATTGTTGGGTCAACATCTTCGATAAACACTTATAAAGATCATTAAACATCGATACTTTAATGATAAAGTTATTTATTTCCGGTTTAAGATACTTGTTCGTCGAAGTTCTCAAGCTTTGAATATTCAGCAAACAATCGGCGAATTCAAAACTTGCCCTCTTGATCCGGAAGAAGAGAGAAGGATACAGAAAGAAATAAAAAAATGGAAGGACTATGAAGACGATGTTGACCGACTAAAACAGGAAATGACAGCCGTAAAAGAAAATGTTACTGACGTGAAGAAAGGCCTTGAAGACGTAAAGGGAAATGTAACTGAAATGAACAAAGACCTTGATGACATAAAGGAAAATGTTACTGACGTGAAGAAAGACATAGACGACGTTAAAGTAAATGATGCTGCAGTGAAGAGAGACCTTGATGGCATAATGGAAAATGTAACTGATGTGAAAAAAGATCTTGATGGCATAAAGGAAAAGGTCACTGATGTGAAGAAAGACCTTGAAGACGTAAAGGAAAATGATACTACAATGAAGAGAGACCTTGAAGACATTAAGGAAAATATAACTGGTGTGAAAAAAGACATTGATGATATCAAAAGATGGCAAGGGGCAGGTTTGTTATTTTTTAGGCTTAAATATTTTATTGTTTAATGAATTGGATATTATTGATATCTTTAGAAAGACTGAACAAAATATACCAGAATACATACAAATGCTATAAAACTTTTATGGATTTAAAATTTACATGTCAAAAGCAATAATTCTTAAAACATAAGGCAATCTATAAATCAATAAATACAAACATGTACTTCTTTAGGGTTTTGTTCTTGACATTTCCAATTCGTGATAACAATCAACTCGTTTATTTTTCTGAAGCTGTGTTTACAAATCCGCTTGTCGGTTTGATATATTTGATAAATCCCTTTTCAAACTATTGTCATTGCCAGAAATGTCAACAGTAAAACAGAAAAACGAAATTGTCCCTTTCAAAGACTTGGTAAACATTTGGCATGGCATTATTTTTATAATCGATTCATTCTACTTTGTTAGTATATTAGATTTAATATCTTGCGGTAAATATTAAGTAAATCTATAATATTTTTTAAGTTTTTAGTCATGAGTAACTTTAAGAAAATCTAAAATTGTGCCGCTGAAACTATCAATGTAACCAAAAAATATCATAGCATGTCATTTGCCAAAAGATACATACATGCAAATCAATCAATCTCGTGGACGATACTAGTGAAAAAAACTATTTAATAATTACAACAATACGGAACAGTTTTCTTCTGTCTTGTTTCTTAAACATGCTAATTAAATGCCTTTAAATGAACTGTCAACGTTTTACACTTTATAATCAACCATATAACCCCTTCCAACAGGTTTATTATTTACATTAAACTGTTTGGTTATTTGAGATTCATGTACATAAATGAAGGATCACCCTTGAATGTACTTACATGTATATGATTTTATTTGATTGATAGACCCCATGTCGTAAACACAATGAATATAAATTAGAGAAACAATTTTTCATTTTTACTTTTAATATCATATTTAAACACATTTAATTTTTACTTTTACAAACCAAAAGAAAAAAATATTTTCAATATTACAACATTTTACAACAAAATACATTTCACAGCAAAATATCTCAACATAATCCCTTTCCTTTCTCTGTAAAATCCTTATCAACACTAAGCGTATGTGACAATGCTGTCTCTATTTATGCAATGATTTCATGAAAAGCACATGAATAAGTATGTGGCAGGTAATATTAATGTCGGGAAAGTTATTAAGAGCAATGTAAAATCATAAGACTTTGGCGCGCAATCCAAAGGAGCAATGAACGGAGTAACAACATACAATAATGTTAAAAAGAACAACATTGAAATTCAAAGTATGCATTAAATTACCGCTATGTTAGCGCCATGACATCCCGCGTCTGTTCAAAAGCTTGAGGCTGTCTGTAGCTCATGCCGTCTGATTTTCTGTCTGCACTTTCTAAGCTTACCAGAACCGAAGGTTCAGGGTGAGCTATAAGTATCAAAGAGGGGGTGCTCCGGCGTCCGTCAGTCCGTCGTCATGCGTCAACAATCGTCTTCTTCTCTGAAACTGCTGGGGATTTACTTAAAGTTTCGTCTGTAGCATCCTTGTGACACTTACACTTGATTTGTTCATGTAATTTCAATTGGCTCCTTTTAGGGGTCAACAGAGCTAAGAATAGAAAATCCTTTAAACATCTTCTTCTACAGAACTTATTGGTGGATGATCACCAAATTTTGTCTGTAGCATTCTTAAATAGTCTTTTATCAAATTTGCTCATATCAAATTGATTGGCCCCTTTTAAAGGTCTCTGGGGCTAAAAATAGAAATATATTTAAAGACCTCCTTATACAGAACTAATGGATCGGTGATCACCAAATTTTTTCTGTAGAATTCTTAGATAGTCTTTTATCAAGTTTGCTCATATTAATTTGATTGGACCCTTTTAGGGGCCGCTAAAGCTAAAAATTAGAAATACCTTTAAACGTCTATTGCTACAGAACTAATTGATAGATGATCACCAAACTTTGTCTGTAGCATTTTTGGGTAATCTTTGATCAAGTTTGCTCATATTAATATGATTGGCCCCTTTTAAGGGCTGATAAAGCAAAAAATAAAAATACATTTAAACATATCATTATACAGAACTAATTGATGAATGATCACCAAATTTTGTCTGTAGCATTCTTGGGTAGCTTAAAATGACATTGACTATATAGAAATATAAATATATATAAATAAAAATAGAATTTTGCCCAAATTGGCTAAATATTTGTTATTTTGATGTGTCTCATTCATCTAGGGCATATAAGTTTTGAAGTTAATGTCTTCAAGTAGGTTAAACTGAACTTTATCTTGGCGTTCACAGAACCTTGACCGGCATATGGTATTTTTTTCCCTCAATTGACATAGATGATGTTACATTATTGAAATTTCATACATTTGGCCAAATACATTTAGAAAAAAATATTTTGAAAAAAGTGATAATATTGACTTATTTCAACATATTGTTTTATTTTTTGTATTGCATAACAGAGAAAAGTAACGAAACCGATTCATCAGTACAAACAGAGGAGAGAAAATATCAAAATCGCAAGAAGGGTAAGTTTGCACAACCATCATATTTAGTAAAACAATGCTCTTTGTCTGTCGTCAGTACATATCACCTTCCTCGGAGCGTTGGAGTTATTAACAACCTTCTTGCAACAATATCGTCGAGATATAGAGGCATCGAATACGGTGGCAAGGGCGGCGAGTGCCGTCTAAATAATTTGCCAGATAACTGTCACCGGTTCCCAAAGTGACTGTGACATGAAGCTGTTATAAGTTGTGAATATTTCGTGTCTTACACGGTAAGATGACTAGTTCTACAAATTTATTGTTTTTCAAAATGTGCTGGTAATCTTTGTTGCCTGTCAAAAAGAAAAGTGTTATTCATTGAAGGTATATATATATATATATATATATATATATATATATATATATATATATATATATATATATATATATATATATATATATATATATATATATATATATATATATATATATATATATATATATATATATATGTGTGTGTGTGTGTGTGTGTGTGTGTGTGTGTGTGTGTGTATTAACAATTATATATGTAAGCGACTGAAAATGGGGTGATTCTTCAGAAGTAAAGTCAACAAATTACACCAAAATTGCAGACTCCGTTTGATTGAGTCTATTTATGACGGAAAAAAGTGCTATATCATCTGCTTCTCCTTTCTTCGGTTTTTATTCAATTCAATTTTCAACATTTAATGTGCTAGAATCAATGATCCCAAAGGGCCTGAAAATATAACTGAAAACTGCCAACATACGATCATATGTAGTGATTGTAAGTGTTTGATTATATTTAATGAGTTTATAATTATTTGTAAATGATTGCCTGATATAAGGTTAATTGAACTGTCCGCACAAAATAATATCGAAAATAGATTATAATTTTTTTATGATATAATAGCCCTTATTAAAATACCTTTGTCCGTTCATCAAAAAAGCTAATAATAATAATAATAATAATAATAATAATAATAATAATATAATAATGGTATACAAATGATTAGGTTATACAATATAAACTGCCTAAAATACATAAACTCACAGGAATACTGACCAAATACAAAGAAAAAAATATGTTATGAATATATTGACCACTAAGGAGTAATGCAGTAAACGATATACAACGACACGACGGGCATCGATCAATGCCGTTACGTCACTTCCTTTCTGGTTTGTTTGAATTATACAAACTGTCCAAAATTTATAAAGATTAAGCTGACGGAGCATGGTATTTGTTACCTTTATGGGGGCATAGTTGGCCAAGTAGGTTAAGGTCGATGACATCACCGCTGTTGGTTCGGATCCCGCGAGCAACTTTGGACATTTTTATGTGAGAAAGCTATCAAGCAAGCTTCCGTATCAATTGTGATTGTGTGTTTGAACATTCGTCGCCCAAATTAATAACCTTGAAAATGTGTAAGGTAAGTAAACAACACAAATCAAAGCGTTTGCGCTTATACTAACTTCCACTGTATTAAAAAAGTGTAAGTCCGTAAGAATGTGTTCGACAAACAGTAGAAGAGAATACTGAATCATATTTGTCACTAGCTTAATTAATGTGTGAAGGCTACTATTTCTTGAATTCATACAATTTAATACTAGATCTATAGGATAGGACATGTTCTATCTCTAAATACTTGCTGTACAAACCTCACACTATGGAATGCCGTGACTTTCTTATGTGATCAATGTTTTTGCTATCTTGTGAAACGATGATATTATTTCGTCGTTTGAGCATGTTAACACGTGCAATTCACATCATGTCTTGTTAAAGGATCATGCTGACTTGTTCAAATAGCATGTTAACTTGTCCAATTATCATAATGACATGTGCAGACAACATGTTAACTTGTCAAAAGATATAATGACTTGTACAAATGACATGCAAACTTTTCAAAATATAATGATGACTTGTGCAAACGACTTGTTTATTTGTCAAAGTATTGTGATGACATGTGCAAAAGACATGTTAACTTGTAAAAATTTCATGATGACATGTCCAAACGGCATGTTTACATGTCGAAATATCGTTCTGACATGTGCACAAGCATGTTAACTTGTCAAAGTATTGTGATGACCTGTGCAAATCATATGTTAACATGTCAAAGCATCATGATGACTTGTGCAAACAACATGTTAACCTGTCAAATTATCATAATGACTTGTGCAGACAACATGTTAACTTGTCAAATAATCGTTATGACTTGTGCAAAAGAATTGTTATCTTGTATCAAGCTGACATGTCAAAATGCACTCTTAACTTGTCAAAGTATTATGATAACTTGTTCAGACACCATTCTAACATGTAAAATTATCATGATGACATGTGCAGAGACAGCATGTTAACTTGTCAAAGTATCGTGATGACTTGTGCAAACAACATGTTAACTTGTCAAAGTATCGTGATGATTTGTACAAACGACATGTGAACTTGTCAAAGTATCGTGATGACTTGTGCAAATGACATGTTAACTTGTCAAAATTTCATAATGAAATGTACGGAAGCTTGTATGTACCCCCGCTATGATGACATGAAGTCGTCTCCCTCGACTTATAGAACACAACATGTCGTCAAAATTACGACGACAAGTTTATATATACCATGTCATTTTGACAAAATATATGTCATCATGTCGAGATACGGCATCCCGACTTCCTTACATAAATAAATTTGTCGACTTGAAGTTACATGTATGTCGACATCTATGTAATTTCTAGTCGACAAATATATTAACGTATGAAAGTCGGGATGCCGTATCTCGACATGATGACATATATTTTGTGAAAATGACATGGTATATATAAACTTGTCGTCGTAATTTTGACGACTTGTTGTGTTCTATAAGTCGAGGGAGACGACTTCATGTCTTCATAGCGGGGGTACATACAAGCTTCCGTAGAAATGTGCAAACAGCATGTTAACTTGTCGAAGTATCGTGATGACATGTGCAAACAGCATGTTAACTTGTCGAATAATCGTGATGACATGTGTAAATAACATGTTAACTTGTCAAAGTATCATGATGACTTGTGCAGACAACATGTTAACTTGGTCAAAGTATCATGATGACTTGTGAAAACGACATGTGAACTTGTCAAAATTTTATGATGACTTGTGCAGACAACATGTTAACTTGTCGAATTATCGAGATGACATGTGCAAACAGCATGTTAACTTGTCAAATTATTGTGATTACATGTGCAAACAACATGTTAACTTGTCAAAGTATCGTGATGACTTGTGCAAATAACATGTAAACTTGTCAAAGGATCATGATGACTTGTGCAGACAACATGTTAACTTGTCAAAGTATCATGATGACTTGTGAAAAAGACATGTTAGCTTGTCAAAATTTCATGATGACTTGTGCAGACAACTTGTTAACTTGTAAAAGTGTCGTGATGACTTGTGCAAAACACATTGTTAACTTCTCAAAGCATCACGAGCATGTCATCACGATAATTCGACAAGTTAACATGCTGTTTGCACATGTCATCATGAAATTTTGGCAAATTTACCTGTCGTTTGCACAAGTCATCATGATACTTCGACAAGTTAACATGTTGTATGCACAAGTCATCATGGTATTTTGACAAGTTAACATGTTGTCTGTACAAGTCTTCATGATTATTTAACAGGTTTACATGCTTTTTGAACAAGTCGGCATGGTATTTTGACAAGATATGATGTAAATTGACAAAGTTAATAATCATTTTACAAGATAGCAAAAACATTGATCACATAAGACAGTCACGGCGTTCTATATCACACGATGACAGACATGACGAATTATCCAATTACCCCTTGATAATGTGTTTAATGAATGAATGAACAATTCGGGCTTAAATAGTAAGATGGGGTAAAACTGATGTTGGAACACTCTTCAGAAGACCCAAAGTGTGGTTATTTTCGAATCCCAAATTATTCAAAAAAATGATTATGTCACGGTATTAATCTGTTGTCTAATCAGGGGAGTTAAATTGTAGGCGTTCCAGGTTCGAGTCTCGGTCGGGCTGCACAATAATCTCGCGCTGTGACAATTATATAGACTTTTTAAAAAATGAAGTTGTTTCAATCATTTGTCATGAAAAGAACTATATTTTTAGTGAGTAAAATTTGTACGGGATCAACTGTGTGGGAAAAATCTAGTGATTCCTACAATGCAGAATTACGTTGTATTGCTTGGAAAATTGTACATCATATCTTAAATTAGAGTTGTACAACTAAATCCTACCGTCTGTGAGGCCTTAAGGTAATCAAAAGTACCGTTTAAATAAATTGATACTAATTCGTGACCAGGAATGTGTGACATATGTGCTCGTTTACATATATATGAATAAGTAAGTAATAAGTCAAGTCACGTAACGTAACGTAAATAAGTAACGTAAGTAAGTAAATATGTAAGTAAGCAAGCAAGTAAGTAAGTAAGAATGTAAGAAATTAATTAAGCGAGTAAGATTGTGAGTAAGTAATTAAGCCAGTAAGAATGTGAGTAAGTAATTAAGCGAGTAAGAATGTGAGTAAGTAATTAAGCGAGGAAGAATGTAAGTTAGTAAGTAAAGTCCACAGCCAGTCAAAAAGACATACACAAAAAAAAACCTCAGGAAACAAGGAAGGGCGGCATTCATTGAACGCATACCCAAACAACACAGGACCACCATATTGTAAAATAAACCTGCAATGTGTCATGTTTTTCTTTCGTATGCATAAATTATGAAATAAAACAAATGTGTGTGTCGTTAATTTGTATATTATAGAAATAATCATGAGTAATGAACCTTAAAAGTCATTATACTACAAACACTAACAGGCAGCATATATGAAGATTATGTTGGTGTACATAAATTTGTCACCCACTGCTACCAGGGCTCTTGTCTCCGCTCCTCCCAGCCTCCGAGAAATCGTGCAAACTATAGTTCAACCTAGCTACGCCCCTGAAAGTTTAGGCCTTTTCTTCATTACCAGAACCGATTGAGGTAATAAAAGTACATTTTCGCGACAATGTATTATTTTCAGTCGTAAAAATATTACATTGCTTTTACCACTGTGTGTCTTCTACCTTCTAAATAATAAGCACCCACTAACCTTTTATCCTGGACCCGCCCCTGTGGCTATGCTTGTCAAAAATAATAGATTTCTATTTATAGATACATTATGTTTGTTTCAGTTGCCCGCGCATTTTCACATGTGATAGGACATTTTTTTAGAAAAAAT